GAGAGAGAGAGAGAGAGAGAGAGAGAGAGAGAGAGAGAGAGAGACAGGGTCAGAGACACATGGAGACAGACACAGGGAGGGACAGAGATACAGACAGATAAATAGAGACCGAGAGAGGCACAGAAACGGGTGATCAAGCAGAAAAAGACAGAGGCAGAAAGAGAGGAAGAGGACAGAAACCATTCACGGAACCTACTCTGCCCTCATTTAATTTAGAATCAGAGGAACTGGATTCGAATTCCCCCTCTGCTGGTTAAGTTACTATTTGTGACCTTGGACAAAAGACTTGTCCTCTCTGCGCCTCAGTTTCCTCCCCTGTAAAATAAGGGGATTGGATTACATGGTGCTAAAATTCAGCTCTACAGCTAAGATCCCAGTAAGGTTTTCCTTCACCTGCCTGTTGTTAGCAAAGAGCTCTCTGCTAGCTGTCATCTTCCTAGGGAATCCGTCTTGCCCAGAAATGGAGAAATCCTCCTTGTCAGCCGACTGTGGTGCCCCCGAGCCCCTCCGCCAGTATTCCCCGCCATCATCCAACCGCGCTCACCTAGTCTGCGGTCCTGGGGCGCAGCATCAGGCGCTCCGGGTGGGAGGCAGCCAGCCGGAGCGTCTCCGCCGGGGCCCGTCCTGGACCAGTTCAGCCGCCGCAGCCGCCGCCTCCTTCCAGCCGCAGAGAGAATCTGCTGTCAGTCTCAACAGTCCCAGCTCCTCAGAACCCAAAGAGTCAGCGGGCTACTCCGGTGAGCTCCAGGCTCGTGGTCAGCTCTGCTGGAAAGAGAAAAGGAAGGGACGAAGAGAAGAGAAAAGGAAGAAGGAAAGAAGGCAAGACGTCTATACAAGAGCTCCCCAACCACCGTAATACTGTGAGACTCAGCTGGGAGCCACCAGCCCAAAGCAGGCAGGAACTTTGCAGCTACAGCTGATGTAACAGGCGCTACCCTCAGCTAGTACCGTAATCTCTTGCCTTTACCGTATTACTCTGCGTCAAGGGAAAGATTTCGCCCAGTCAGTGCTTCTGCGCAGGGAGTTTCCCTCTTCTGCTCACCGTGTGCTGAGAATTGAAAAAAGACTTCCCTTTGGTCAAAAAGGAAAAAGAAAAACACCCCGGGGCGTGGGGCGAATGCGTCTTTCAAATGGTCCAAATTAAGGATTAAAAAACAAACAAAACAAAACAAAACAAAAACATCTTGAAATAGCTCTGAAATATCTTTGAAGGTCCATCCAGATTTACCGTGCTGTGTGTGATGTGGTCAACGCTATTCCAGGTAATGCTGGTCCTGGTGACTTGACGGCCGTACAAATTGTATTATGTCCTGTTAAAACCCAGGCGAGCCGTATTGTGAGCCAAAGCTTCAGTTCTGGTCTTCTGTCGTTTGGAGATCTTTGTAGGCCAGGTTTTTAAAGACCAAATAAAATCGAGTGTAATTGAGTTAATAGAGTCGATTGCTCTCAAACTATTTTCGGGAAGAGAAAAAGATTTTATGGAGGATTTATTAAACATAATCTGGCTCCTAGCCCTTCCAGTCTCACCTCAGATCCTTTAAAAGCTCTAAACTCGATTTCGAAAGTGACACTTTGTTTATACGTTGCTATCTGATTGACAAGAGATCTTTGAAATCCTGGAGTTTGCCAAGTCACTTTACTCTTATTAAGCCTGATTTGCCTGCCCAGTGAAAACCGAACTCTTCATGATTTGAAATGTCTTCTCTAGTCACTTCCATGTACAGAATTTCCAACAAAGGGACATTATTAGAAGGTTGTAGATTTCATACTCTGTGGTGGAATTGGTGAATTTCTCCAATGTTGTCACCATGGGCCAATTGAAGGGGAGAGCTGAGATCATTGTTTGAATAACTCCAGAGACAAACCTGTTGGCTCATAGCTGGAGACAATAGGGCGTTTTGAGAGTCAGTGCATATGATATGGAAGGAAAGAAAGGAAGAAGGACGAAAAAAGGAAGGAAACAAGCATTTCTTAAAAAACCACTATGTGCCAGGTATGGTGATGAATGCTTTAAAAATATCTCATTTGATCCTCTCAGCAATCCTGGGAGGGAGCTGCTAATATTATGCCCATATTACAGTTAAGGAAACTGAGGCAGACAGTAGTTAAGTGACTTGCCCGGGGTCACACTAGTAAGTGTCTGAGGCTAGATTTGAACTCAGGTTTTCTCTATCCACTCTATTTACTGTGCAAAGCTCTATCACATATTAAGCATATGATTTTGGGTAAGATGTATGTCTTCTCAGAGCTTTAGTTTCTTCAACTGTAAAAAAGGGTGCTGGATTTACATGGTTCCTTTTAGTTCAAAGATCCCATAACTACCTTCTCCAATCTTTCTTACATAACAATGGATGGATTAATGTAGTGGAAAGAGCACTGAATTTTTCTTCTGAACTTAATGAGTCCTGATTGGAATCCTGACTCTGACATGTGTGATGTGGGGCAAGTCACATGCCCTCTAGGGAACTCAATTTCTTCAAATGTAAAATGGAGGGTTGGACTAGTCAGAAGGGTCCAGGTAGCACGAGTGTTGTGACTCACAACACTCCTGAGTGAGGCCTGAGCCAGATGAAAATGTAATTGGGAAATATTTGCTCCAAGTCAACATGCACAGCACAGATTCTGATGGATGGTTTAGCATTCCAGTTCTATTTGAGTTTGATACCACTGCATGAAATGGTCCAAAAGGTCACTTTGAGCTCCGAATCTAGGATCTATCAATCAATTAATCAGCATGCATTTATTAGGCACTAACTGTGTGCCAGGCACAGTATTTGCTTTGAGGTGTCCAAATACAATAAATGCTCCTAATGCACTGTTCTAATAGCGTTGCCCACTTCTCAAAATTCTCCAGTGGCTCTTTAGAGCTATCTATCAAAGGCCAGCTACTTCAGCCTGACATGCAAAGAGTTCCACATTTGCCCTTATCTCACACTACTCTCCATTTGCTGCCAAATAAGATTTCTCTAAGTCATTTAGAATTACCCACACATTCTCCATGTCTTTGTTCTTTCTTTTCATTTCCTGTGCCAGAAATGTCCTCTGCACATTTCTGCCTGTTGGACACCCATGCTTCAAAAATGCTCCACCTTTCAGGAAGCCTTCCCTGACTCCTTCCCTTGTTCCCAAAGGGCTATTAATAATCACTGCCTTCTGGAAATGCTCAATGTACCTCATTTATAGCTCTCTTCTATGCTGTCAATACCTCTTCTACTTTAGAATTATACCTTGTCTCCTCCAGTAGGTGGTAAGCTTTTTGAGACCAAGAGCCAGGTCTTATTTTAATTTCTATCTCTTGAATCACTTAGTATAATGACTTACATAGTCAATGTTTAAACCACATTTATCAAATGAATGAAGGGATGAGTGAATGGAATGCTAATACAGAAAGGAAATTCAGAGGGGTATTTAGTTTAACTGCCTCATTTGAGAGGTGAAGGAACTTAATCAAAGATATAATGTAGAGCTGAGAGAAACCTAGAAGAGAATTTCTTGATCACCGAACACTTATGTCCCATGAAGTGTAAGCCCCTTGAAGGTAGCATTTTCATTTTTGTCTCTATCATTGCCTCGAACATTGCCAGCATTTACTACATCATTTTGAATTGCATTAAATTGAATTACTTCTTGGGCATTTTCTCATAATTGTCCTAAGGATGACACATATTTGGTTATCCTGGGCTTCTGTTATCTCAGAATAGGAAGCTGGAGAATAGCTTTGAAAGAAGGTATTGGTGTCTTAAAGGGCGATAGATACAGCAAAGTCTGGACAACAAAGCTTTCCACAAAAGGAAAAAAAAAACCCAAAGCACAAAAACTGTTGTACAGACAGTTATGATCTATTTTAAAGAAACTATTAACTCCTAATGTTCAAGGAAAAAATGGTTACAATACACTTAACTTCATAAAAGTTTTTTTTTCCATTTAGGAAATTAATCATTTCCTAAAATATGAGTTATGCTAGTCATTTCAGTGCACCATAAACAGTAAATGGATCCCATCCAATGTAGAGAATATGAATAGTAATAATAATACCCAAGTTATGTCTTTATTCTGTAGACTAAAATCCATAATCAGTGGTAGCTTCAATATTAAGATGGATTAAGAGCCATGTTAGGAATGGTCTAATTCAAAGGGCACCCAGAAGAGTGATTTGCCCAGGCTTCTGTGGCTAATAAGTGTGAAAGGCTGGATTTGGACCAAAGTTTTAGTAATCCTAAATCCAACACTTTTCCCACTATGCCACACCGCTGCGCAAGAGCTAGTATTCCTTTGAGTCTGCACCACCCAGTTTCATCATGTGGATATCTTGACCATGTCCTCCCACAAATACTTCATATGAGATGGAGGTGGCAGAATAGTATTGGAGTGTTTTAGCACTTCTTTGGTAAAAATGAGGCATGTAAGCTGTTCCTTTGATATCCCTTAAACTCAGAACTTCATGGTTTACTCACCTCCTTTTCTCATCATACATATACAGGTGAAATCCCTTAGGCTACTTCTTGCCATATAATATTGGCAACTGATGACATCTCTGCCTAGGATTGGCTATGAGCATCATGTAATGGGAAGAATGGATATGTTAATTTTATTTAAATGTGATTGGTTTCCTATGTAACCCTATGGATTTTATTTTGGAAATTTAAAAACATGATTCTAAGCTAAGGTCCCTAGGCTTCACCAGAATACCAAAGGGATCCATGATGTAAAAAAAAAAAGGATAGCAACTTCTGGTACGATTATAACCCTGGCTTTGGAGCAACAAGGCGTGGGTTCAAATCCCACCTCTGACACTACCTGTGAGATCCTGGACAAGTTATTTCACTTCCCTAGGTCTCAGTTTCCTAATCTAAAATGAGTGGTTTGGACTAGATGTACTAGATGGCTTCTGAGATCTTTGCTCACTCTCCATCTAAGATTTTATGACCTGGCTTAATATCCCAAGCCTGCTACTCACTACTTCAGTACTACTCAGCCGCTAAGTGATGTCCATGGCAACAAATGAAATAAGACCTCGTAGTGCAAGCCATAAAATCACATATTCTGCTGAAACATCATCTTGAGCTCCTCGGGTAATTTTAAATGAATTGTTTAGAAAATCAAAATAGACTTTTATTTATGAATATGTGTGTTTCTAAATGTGCATATGTATGTATATATTTGATTGAAATGTGGAGAAATGATTTTAAGAAGAAAAGACTTTCAGACCAACCTATTTGTGAGGGGCAGGGGGAAATTTACACTAATTTTACAACCACCACAAAGGACTCATTAATTGTTTGACAAAATGCTTTGAGAAAGAATTACATTAGCTTCCCGTGCCCCTATCAAAATGCTACCAAGTACAGCAATTAATATTTCTCTTAAAATGCTGAGCTTTTCATTCATGCAGCTGACACCCTAACCCTGAGATTTCCTCTCCAGCATCGTTCTTCTGGAGTATTTTGCCATTTGTGTTATCAGCAGGAAAATCAGCTGAAAATGTATGTGGTTTTGTTATTAGTTAACTAATCAAGTAATCCATTTATTTATTTTCCTATCTCTCTATCCACTTATTTATT